TGAAGATATGATGCAGATTTTTCCGTTGAAGGAGATCTAGAAGCTGATTGGCTGCTGGAATGGAACATTTTATTCTGAGGTTTTTTTGGGCTGGCTTAGGTTCATTATGTGAGTTTGGTTGGTGTTTAAGATGATGCAACTTTGAGAAAAATAACACTGAGCTGAATGGATGAACTGATGAAAGTAATTCTCGATCAAACCAACTACTTTACTTGTTAATACTTGATCGCATTAATTAAAAAAATGTTTATTAAATATGTCAAAATTCAGTAGAAGATCAAAGACACAGGGATGTTTATCCGTCCATTTTTTTTACACGCTTAATCCCAAGTGGAGTCGCGAGGGGTGCTGGTGCCTATCTCCAGCTACGCGAATGTTTAGTTAATCTTAAAATCTCCTTTAAATATTTTACATATTTTTATTTTAGTCTTTCACAGGAACATCTATGTACGTGAAGATCAGACAGGTTTGAGTTTCCCTTTCAGATTCTTCAGAGAGCGGGCAGGCAGGTCTTTGACAGGTTTGATTCTCCAGGGTTCTTCAGAGATCAGACTGGCAGATTTCCAACAGAGAAACTCTTCAAGGTTTTTCAGGTTTCAGGCAGGTTCAACCTGGGAAGCAGAGAGGACAAAACAGATTAGGTTCAGGTTCAGGTTTTCTGGGAGTCAGAGATTCAGACAGGCAGGTTGACTCAGGCTTGCTAACCATAATTGGCAAAACACTCTGGCGTCAGAGTGTAGCTCTCCGCCTCCTTAAGTACTGGTCTCCTGATGAGCAAACGAGCCGCAGGTGGTGAAGTCAGCTCCAGCTCCAGGACACCTAGAACGCCCTCTGGTGGAGAAAAGTGGACAGACCTCCAGATCCCAACAAGGGCTGCATTCTGAGCCCCCTGCTGTTCACCCTGATAAGACACGGCTGCATCCCCAGGTTCACCAATCACACCGTGAAGTTTGGGGATTACACTACAGTGGTGGTGGGCCTCATCAGAGACGACAACAACCAGGACTACAGAGACGAAGTGGAGCAGCTGGTGGAGCAGAGATAACAGCCTGATCCTGAAGGTGGAGAAGACCAAGGAGATCATCGTGGACTTCAGGAAGAACCGGCCTAACCACGCTCCACTGCTCATCAACAGCTCAGCTGTAGAGGTGGTCAGCAGCACCAAATTCCTAGGGGTGCACATCACAGACACCCTCACCTGGATTTTAAACACCACCTCACTGGTCAAAAGGGGCACAAAACACATGTACTTTGTGTAGAGGATGAGGAGAGCCCACCTGTCATGGGAAACCTAAGGTCGCTCCTCAACAAGACTCAGTAGCTCGCAGCTTTAGCAGAGACACCAAGTTTTCAGACTAGTTAAACAAGTTTTTCACCCGGTTTGACTCCGCCTACCCTCATCAGCACTCTCACCAACCCCTGACCCACTCACACCCTCTGTCCTGCCTCCCTCCCCCCTCACAGTCACTTTGATGCAGGTGAGGGGCCAGCTGAAAAGACTGAAACAGATGAAAGCTTCTTGACTGGATGGCATCCTCTCAAGGCTGCTGAGGAACTGTGCTGATGAGATGATGATCTACAACCTGAGCCTTTGCCTGTTGGTGGTCCCCACTCTCTGGAAGACCTAATGCATGGTACTGGTTCCCAAAACACCAAAGCCAATGAACCGGCCCACTTAAGGC